GGGAATTTCTTAAAATTAAACTTTTAACATAAAAAATAAATATCTTTACCAATAAAATTTCGTCTTCAACGGTTACACAAGTTTCGGTTGTTCCGGTGTCAAACTTCGGGCCTTCGACGTCGGTCAAACGGCAGCTAGGAAGTGGATAGCTATAAAAATTCCGGATATAGTAGACAAATTAAGGATTCTAACTGGGTCTCTGTATAGTGGCCAAACTATATTCCTATTTCCCCACAAACCCAGGAAAGAAATAAAAGACAAACCTCAACTTATGTCCCTTTATAATTAATTTATCAAATTTACCCAATAAGAACCAAGACTAACAATTATTATCATTTAGATATTAAAGAAACTAACAAACCTAATGTTGTCATCAAATAAATTCTAAATTATTGTCCTAGGAATAAATTATAAAAAAATTACAATATTTAAATTGTTCAAGTACTTAATTTAAAAAACTTACGGCTTATGAATTCATAACTAAATAAACTCAAATAACTAAAGTAAGAAATTAAAATGTATTTGACATGTATGTAAAAAAAATAAGAATAAATACATCAGCAGATAACTCGGTCAGTCGTTTGCTTGGTACCAGGCGAAGGACGATTGCGCAAGATGTTAAGCAAATATAGTGAAATATTAATTTCTACCCTTTTACATAAATCATAAAATCAATAATATAAATCATCATGTGCATATCTGCATCTATAATATTGAAACACAATAAACTGTTAACAATCTCCAAATTAGGTGTTTATGGTCAATACCCAGACCGAGACGTTAAGTGCTTAAATAACAAAATTTTGAAATAATTGATTATACTTAGCTACTACCTAGATCATTATGTGCTTAATTAATTAAATTATGAAGTAGTATTTAGTAACACAAAAGTTATTAATAGAAAGAACTGACTAGAACATTCTATGTGCAACAGTATAAATAATGTTGAGAATATAAAAAACCTAATAGTAGTGTCTTCATTAACAGCATCACAATCTTCCCATCTAGCTAAAGAACCATATATGTAAAAACCAGCAATAAGTAAGTCAGGTGGCTAGTAAATCAATGAACGACGATTATACGGGCCCACTGTTCTGGTAAACCGATGTCCCCACGATAAAACTGTAATGCGTTCGGGTCCAAACCTGAAATTTAAATCCTAACAGTGAACCGTCCAGGTGAAAACCGATGATCTTCGCAGTGAAAAACCCTCCGGGTAAACCCTAAAAATATTACAAAGTGTGTCAAAACAAATTAACTAAAGTTTCCCAAACTATACAATTAATTACCCCACGTGTAAACTAGAAAGTATTAAGTACCTAGGATGAATGAAAAATTACATTGACTCAGCAAGAGTCATAAATAGTATTATGCACTCAAATAATTAAAATTATGGCGCACCAAGCCACATAACAGAAATCGACAATCAAAAGGTATACAATATTACAATTTTAATGAAATCGTCATCGTTAATAATTTGTTACCTAGAGGTAAGGTTAGAATACATATTATAAGTCAACTCGTAATTGTCTACTTTTAGGTGAATATAACAAATTGAAACAACCCAGTCTAGAATAACCATACTGCAAATAGGATCATTGTACAATGTATTTTCTAAGGATAAAATACCACACGATGAATTAAATGATAAGAAGGATATCCGCCAGTTACCAGTACATACAGTTTTCGTCAAAAATAATAGCTTTAAAAGATTATATAAACAATAAATAACGTTTCACTTTTTTTTATATTTAATTAAGGTGGGTCAAATTTACTCTAGTAATTTTAGTGGCTAAAAATGAACGTTAGTATTGCCTCTGATCGCATGTATAGACAGGACGTAGATTTGCTGACGAGCAGGCATATTGAAACATATTCTGAATTATCAACTGTCGGCGTCCCTCTGGTACACAAGCGACTTCTTAAATTTATATATTTTGAGGGACACTTTTTGTATACAGATACAGATATAGTTCTCCTTGCCTCTACACTCCATAGTTGGGAATAAGCACAATTCATGACGCAAATTATTACCTATAATCCTTTTTATAGAAAATATTAATCCAATATCAACATACATTTGGGCCTTCTACATTAATAGGTCATTGAACAAAAATTACTAATTTCTGTAAGGTTACGATTATATTATTAGAAGGTATGTAAACAATTCGATAGTCTGGGAAATAAAGTGAGTTTTATCGTGAAACATTTGTGAATTCAATGTAAAATATTCATTTTGAAATTATGTTTAACCGCATATACTATAATATTATGGTGTGCTTATAAAACGTTATTACACTTTGTTGTTTAAAGAGACTATAGGTGAATGAAAAATGGTTGTAGGTCTTTTTGCACCCTGACTTTTTTTGTTGAACGGAAATTGCAATTATATAAAATATGATTAATACCACCAGGACTACAAATCCTGATCTAGCCTTTAGCTGGTAGTCGCGAGACTTACGACGCCGTAACAGAATGAGATAAAGTACGGTTATAAATAAAACAAAATGCATTTATTGTATTGTTCGGGCCGTTGTAGAATCCGAACGGCGAGAGTAAGAGCGCGTCGCATCACCGGAATACAAATAGAGACTGAAATGTATAACAAAACGACGCGCGGCCCGCCATCTCCGAGGTGAAATGACCCATGCCAGATTGGAAACTGCTTTTCTTAAACACCTGGGGCGAGGCGAGAAGATGCTTATCGAATAACGCAGTGGAAAGATCAATTTTTTTTCGCCGAAGAATAATATGGCTTTGGGGTTAACATGAGTAAAAAATATTGTTATGGATATTGTTATCCAAAACGGGATCGGTCTTAATGCGATGCGTTTTAGATGGAATGGGGTCGAATTCTTAAAGGCGCTGTCAAGATTGGTTTTTAAATAAAAAAGTGAAAACTGGATTGTCTACACTGAGAAAACAATGTATATATTGTAATGGTATTCAATACTCAAAGAATAAATAAAGATATTTTTTACACAAATGATGTTTCTATTTAATAAAATTATAATTCTTCTACAATTTTGGAAACATCAAAATACTCAAAGAAGAAATAAAGATATTTTTTACACAAATGATGTTTCTATTTAATAAAATTATAATTCTTCTCCAATTTTGGAAACATCAAAATATATGGGTCATTCTTCAGAAAAGGTACAATTTATTAGAACAGTAAAAAAATCAATTTTTCCAAAATAATAAGTTTTTTAGTTATTTATTAAATGACCAAAACACTTTTCTTTTGAGGGAAAAGCAAAATGTATTAATTTTATATAATTATGACTAATGTCATACTTCGTCATCTGTCCCAACTCATACTTGAAACAAACAAAATAGTATTTCACTAGATTTGAAAAAGCTGATGTAAAATTTAGTTATGACAAGTTATTAAACAAAGTCTAAAAATTATATTTTATGATATTCAATTAAATTAAAAAAATGTTCTCTTACTTTTTTTTTAAATAATTCATGTCCCAGGGTACTAGCGTCAATCCTGTTATCAACTTTAAATTTGCAATAGAAACCGCCAGGAGGCGTGCAAATTAACGCGCTTTGTTTCAGACACTTTGTGGTAGTGTTGCCACTTGTAACATAATTATGGAATTGTAACATAATTTTTCCTTAAAATTAAGTTTAACGATAATGTGTAACATAATCGATAATTGTAACATATTTTTTTTGTCTAGGAATTTTTTACCTTCGCAGGTTTTATTCTTATTGTACGAAATCAATTTACCAAAAAAATTAAAATTATTTTATTTAATCAGTACTGACCCCTCTTGGCAATTAAAAAAAGCTATAATAAAAGTCAAAGTACCATCTACATAAATGTTACCGTACTTGGAAAACGGAGCGGGGGGAATCCCCCGATTACACGGGGTTCCCTAGAATTATAAATCCGGAAAACATTGAACTTATGCAAGAAAATGATAATCAGCTGCACAGTGGCGACTGCATTGTCAGTCAGAGTTAAATGGAAAGGTAATTAATTAAATATTGACAAATAGTGGTACAATATTTCCCAAATTCGTGACTTATCTAATAATTTAATGTTTAAGGAATTGGTACTGTGGTAATATAAATTCACTATTAATAGGTATATTCTCAAAGTGTTAACGGTGAGTGCTACAATTTTAATGTTACACAGGAGATGATTAGATCAATAATATCCTATGAACACGAGGAAGATGGAAATGTTTATATTCATTTTGATACTGAATAATTCTGGTCTAGATTTAAGTTTTTGTGTTATTTTTTATTTGATTTTTTATTCGATTATAAATAAATTAAAATAAGCATGATCTGTTGTTTACCAAAACAACAAATGCCGCGTTTGAATATCCACATCGGATGCATTTTTTACATCTCGAGTGTTTGTTTATCCACATCGGACACATCTGTCCTACTACATTTACGTATATACTGAATCACCTGATTCAAAAATTTACATCTCAGATGCATCCGATGTGGATATTCAAACGCGGCAAAAAAATAGATAATTTTGGCAGCCCTGCACGATAATTTCTTTATCGGTTGGTGGCAACACTGCTTTGTACAAATTTGTTCAGTTTGAATTTGACCACAGTCGAGTCAAGTAGTGTCGAGTGTAAACAAAATTTAACGTTGTATGATTAAGACCGGTCTTGTGCTATCATTACCGTGACCAATATTTTAATGTACATAAGGTTAGGTTAGGTTAGGTTAAGGTTAATTGATATTATTTGTTAGTAATTTTGTGTAATATTTTATGAAATTTAAGATGTCCTGTTTTGGTTAATTTATGTAGTTTTGTCTAAAATTAAACTCAATTAAACCTTTGTGTCCATCAGCTCCGTTATCTAAGTTTGATAACTGTGTTGACTATGTTGATCACGGAGTTGACAGTTATCTATCTAATGTTATTTTCATTATTTTTAGTGTTCAATATGGCTCCCATAAAGAAGAAAAAAGATAAATATGAATCACGGAAAGAACAAGTTAAACAGAATATGAGAAAAATGAGAGGGCGTATTCGGAATGACCCTGTGAAATACAAGGAATACAAACGAAAAGAAAAGAAAGGTATGAAAAACGCAGAAACAAAGGAAAAATAAAGCATATAAGTGGTCTGACGAATAGAGAAAAAAGAGAAAAGCGAAAAAGCAAAAAATACCGCCAAAGACTTAGAATGATAGAAAATATAGTTGATATCATCCCTCCAGCTAACCTGCAAGTTAATGATTTACCTGAACCTCCTCATGAAACTCCAAGCAGACAATTGCTTCAAGGGAAAAGGCAATCTAAGAAACACAGACGAAAGTTACACGCTACAATAAAAAAGTTAGAAGCAAAGAATGCAATTTTAAAAAAGAAAATGGAAACATATAAAAGAAGATGCAATAGATTATTATTAGAGAAAAGGGAAAAAAGCGCTCTTCCAGACAGTCCAAGAGACAAGGTAAATGAGTTAATGAAAAATAAGGAAAATATGATTGAGGAAATTAGAAAAATAGTGCTTTTTGGAGAGGTGATAAAAAAGCAAATAGAAGAAAATCTACGACGTGAGAAGTTTTTGAAAGACAAGAGAAATATTATAAAAGTAGTGTCTGGAAATGTAATGAAGAAATACAGGTTTCTTAATGTTCTAACCACTTGGTCACGTAAAATGTGTAGGCCAAATAGGCCATTAAACAACAAAAACATAAAAAAGGGCAGGCTGCAGAAAACAATTCGAGGCTTCTTAGAGAGAGAGAGAGAGAGATGAATATAGTCGCGCATGTTACCAGGGAAAAAAGATACAATAACAAGAAACAAAGCAAAAAGACAAAAGAGATTTTTAAGCGACTCTTTGAGAAACCTTTATATAAAGTTCACCCAACCATATCCACAATATAGAAGAATTGGTTATGTCCTCTTTTGCAAATATATGCCCTTTTGGATATTACTACCCAATGTAAGATCAAGAGACTTGCGCGTGTATTCTTCATGAGAATATGGCTCTTATTACACGTAAACTATCAGTTCTAAATATAATTGACAGCACATTTCCAAATCAGCTGTGAAGAAACAAATGAAACATGTCTTAGTCGTACCTGTGACTTATGTAAGGGCAAGACATTGTTTTTGAATGACTATGATCCCGATGAAGCAGTGGTTTGCAAGTTGTGGATCAACAAAAAAGAAAAAGTTGTTGTCAAAGGAATTTAAAAAATATGCCAAAAAACAATTAAAGAACCAGTTACTTTTTCAGCTAGTGAATTAGTCACAAAACTCAAAAAGGATTTACCTAAATATATGTTGCACATGCGAAATATTATTCGCCAATACAAAGTTATCAACGATGTTAAAAACAATCTTGCTGGCAATGAAATTTTGATACACATGGACTTCTCAGAAAATTATAACTGCAAGTATGGCGAAGAAATTCAGTCTGCTCACTTTGGGGGTCCAAACCTCAGGTTTCTTTACATATGGTAATTGTTTATCATAAGAATAAAAAGACAATAAATACAAACTATTATACAATATCAGAGAGCTTGTGTCATGATCCACCAGCAATCTGTGCCCATTTAGAACCAGTATTTACAGGGACTAAAACACAAATAGGGAAAGTCAAAACTGCCCATTTTCTGAGCGATGGGCCTACAACTCAATACAAAAACAAAACGATGTTTTATTTAATAGCCAATCAGATTGCCAAAACTTTGGAAGTCGAACAAATACAATTTCACTACAGCGAGAGTGGTCATGGTAAGGGGGCTCCAGATGGGATCGGGGGAGCTAGCTGCTAAAAGAACAGCGGATAGCGTGGCACGTGGCAAAGATGTGTCTTCATTTAAAGAACTTTTTTTTGTTTTAAAAAAGAATTGTAAAAAACCAATATTTTATCGATTAGTGAAGCAGATATTTGCAAATTCGATCTTGTTTTTCCGGTTAAAGCTAAATGCATTTAAAGGCTCATTAAAAATAAGACAAATATTTTGGCATAATGTGAAACCGAATGTATTGTATTTTCGATATCTTAGCTGTCTACAGTGTATTGGAAACTGTGAATATTATCATCTGGGATTAAAACATTTTGAAAACCACTTGCATAATGATTATGAAGCAGGACCTTCAAGAAGCAACAGGTTGAGATATTCTGATGTGTACTCTTCCTCTTCAGATGAGGACGAAGTAATGCATAAAGTAACTGGGCAAAAATTTAATACTGCCGATGGTAGCTTTGTTATAGTTTTTAGGGAAGAAAAGGAAGAAATACTACATAGGAAAAATTCTAAGTGAAGCCGAAAACGATGAATTATTACTAATCAGCTTTCTGAGAAGACAGAACAAAAGTAATAAATTTGTTTTCCCCAATGAATCTGATATTTATCCAGTTCCAAAAAAAAGATATTGATTTGATTTTAAAGGCACCCGAAGAACGAAGAAACCAATATTATTTCGATGAAACTGAAATCAAAAACATCGAAAATTTGGAATAAAATATTTTGTAAAATGTTTTTCTTTGTACATGCTCAAATTTTGATCTTTGATCTTTTTATTTTTGTTTTAGAAAAGTATATTCTTGCAATTTTCAGTTTTTTGTATCACGGATATTTAAATAATACACATTTTTACATTATGCAGTATTTCGTTATCAAGACGTCATTACCGTTATCAAAATAATTTTTAATTTCCCAAAAAAGGAGAAAAAATAAAAATTAAGCTTGGCCAATCATTATATTTTGATAATTAATGTTTTTGTAATGTATTTGTAAAAATACATTTAAAAAAATGAAAATCCAAATTACCTTTTGGAATTGTACCTTCTGAAGAATGACCCATATAATTCCCAATTCCTCCTAAGAAATTATGAAACATACACCCATGTAGTATTTTTGGCGACAATAACCACATAATGCACCAAAATTAACGTTGTAGAAAATAGTCACATATAAAACGATGCACTCTAAGCCACCGGACGTCGTCTTAACGTTGATCATGTCCTAAGTTAAACTAGGACGTTGTTACAACTTTTGCTTAACCGTCTACAAGTAGTATATATTTTAGGAATGGGATTAACGTTCTAAAAACGTTTAAGTGACAACTTTAGTTAGGTTAAACGTTTTCTCGACGTAGGGCCGACCTTGTAAGATTTAAGTATGCAGTGAGTAATTTTTAAGTTAAATAATGAACGTTTTCGTGAAGTCATCTTTGCAACTAACCTATATATCCTATCTATTAAAAAGATGCTAAAATAATAGAAAAACGATCACAAATTTATTTTATTTTTTTACAATTTCACCTCACCAAGGGTAATATGTAATCCTAAAAAAAATAATTAGTAATAATTTAATATTGTAATAGGTAGCAAAATTCTGACATGTGTCTTAGTACAAAAACAAAAGAGAACAAGGGCGGTATTCACAAATAGAAAAGCATAGTCACAATTAAATGGCTAAACAGAATAAATGAAAATATAAATGCATGAAAGTCCTGAGCGAAAAATATGTATTTAAACATCGTATTAAAAAATTTCATGACCACATTAGTTACCGAACGACTATTAATTAGGCAATAAAGGTGAAACACTCGAGATTGTCGCAAAACTTTCTAAAAAGGAATACGAAGAAGAGTAAGAAAGAGCCAATTACAGTCGATACCATCGGAGAGTTTATTCCGAGATCTGAGCAGCGAAATGCCCACTAATAAATCTCCCTTATAAATCTGTAACGCGCATCAACTTTAAGAGGCCTTACGCAGGATCGGACTTGTCCTCAATACACTTCATCAATTAATAAGGCTAGCGACGTCCACGCCATCATCAATGGGTTACTGAAAATATCACTATAGAATATACAATTGATGATCAAAAAGCGTGCAGATCTATTGTTTGGGAAGAAAGAAAAACCGATTAATAAAAAATTTTCGCTTGTTTTAACAAAAATAAAACATTCTAATCAAAGGGTGACATATTTACATGTGACTAACAACTTCTTTCTTAAAGATATTTCCTTGTTTAAAAGAAAAAAATTGAAAAAAGTATTGGATATGACCCTCTGTTGCACTAAAGTTAAAAAGACGGTAATGAAAACTTGGTTTAAATATACAACATACATTATTTGAAGATACAAGTGGATAAAGGGCATATGTAACATTTTTTTTAAATGGTGTTTTTCTGTGAATGAAGGGGGCATATGTACCTAAAATTCGTTTAATATGTCTTTCGTGACAATATATCATCTAATATAGAAGTTGCCAGTTGATAAAGGACCCATGTACTAGGAAATAACTGCCAAACAATAAACTTTAACACGAAATATCTCGTAAAAATTATTTTGCTACATAGGCCCTTCATCCACTTGTGTCTTCATTTTTTTGTACAAGTAGGGTGTATGTCTAGATTTGCACTCTTCTTACACCAAACACTTATGGAGGCAAGTTCAAAATTTTTAATATTTTTTTCATTTATTATCGCATCTGCTTGTTTCTTAAACCAATTGATTAAGCTTACTTTTGTACATGGCGAACATAAAATAACTAAATTATCAAAAAATGATGCTGGGGCCTTCTTGTAGGAAGGTCCTCAATTGTTAAGAAAACGTTTTGTGAGCTTACGTCACATAGGGCATTTTCCAAAACAGTAATCTTAGATTTCATTAATTCATAAAACGGGTAGTTATCTAAATGTTTCAAAAAGTAGTGTGACGAAGTTACTAAATTTTATTTTTAATTAATTTAAAAAATGTGTATTTCAATTAATTCCCGCCTGAGGACATGTAGAAGATCCCCGTATTTCTGTTTCCCAGGAATTACCGTTTTTCAACAATTGCAAGTACCCTCGTAGGTTAAAATATTTCTATATTTGCCAAAATCCGAATGAGCATTTGTAGATTCAATTTCGTATTAATTATCTACTTGTATTTGTCAAGGTACTAGAAGGACATTTTTTCTATTTTTAAATTGTAAACAGGCGGCTGTAGTGGTGGTATCTCTCACTCTGGCTTACCGGTCTTCAAGTTTGTCCAGGGAAGAAGCATAAATTGGATTACAACTGATAATGGTCCTCTTTTAATTTCCGGCAACCGTAAGCTCTTCTCTCTCCTCCAGTGACGTGTGAAGTACTCTGTGAGTGACCGTGATATTGATAGAGTACTGAACAACCCCGTTTATTTTTCTAAGGGTACCGTAGGGTACGAGGTATAAAGGAGAAAAGTGTTTTATTTTTATTTTCTAGTTTAGTGGCTACCTAGTTAGCAGTGACCTCCTGGAAATATTTTTTTTACTTCACTGAGGTTACCTTGAGTACACTCTGATGTACTACAGGGTCGCAGAGCAAACTGTGATACGATACCAAAACTGGCGTCTGAGCATCCCCTATTCGGGAATCACCATCATAGCGCCACACATACTCGCTGATTCACTGTAGGTGAACCAGAAGCCTGTCACAGTAGGTTACAGTTTAGGGTCCTTTTAATGCGTTTGTCTGCAAGATCCTGTACCAGGTCATGAATTTTATATTCCAGTTTTGTTTTAGAGTTATTTTATATCGTTACGCCAGACTACTTCATAGATCACTACCAGACATAATTTAACCCCATATTGTGTTATTATGTTGACAGTGTGCTCTTGATCTTGACTATTCTTGAATCAAGTGTATTTAGGGTGCGTTAAGTGAGCAGTCGGACCGGTCGAAAATATCTAGCGAAAAAGAAAACCTACTAACATGACTACTCATATCTAATCAACTGATCAGTCAGAGTCGGTCAGAACTGTAGGGAAATTTTGTCTGAATCTGGTAGTTAAAACTGTCTAGTTTTAAATGGTCAGATGGCAGTTGTTATTGTATTTGCACACACAAAAAAAGAATAATCCACTATTTAATATGAGTGAGTTGTTTTACAAGGCTTAACACCTCAACTAAGAGTTCACCTCATAGCATTCCTCTCTTCTTTTTTTAACTAAACACCTCACTTTCGCATAGTGTTATTTTCACTCACCAAGTCAAATGGTCTTGTCGTTTTGAGTTTTCCCTTCAGATATTGTTTTTTTGTGTTTTGTGTTTTTTTGATTTTTTCGTCTACTGTTGGTATCTTCAGTTTCATATGCATTCATATGCATTTACAATAATTGCAATTAGTACTTTATTTTGCAATCGTTGGATTGTACTCATATTTATCTTGGTTATGCTGGTAGATATCTATCTGATTAGTGTGAAGCAAAAGCAATACTAGCGCAAGCTGCAGATAATTCAAGTACTTTAGGGCGATATTTTTTAATTTTGGCATGTGAAATACACGTATACATTCTACTTTTTTTCAGAAAAATGATTTAAAAACTATACAATAACCAACCAGACTTGCTGTACTGTAAATTGTAAAAATACTAGCAAAAAACAGTGTAAATTATAACAAATTTCAGTAGCAAAGTGGAAATTAAATCAAAGAAATAAATGGATAGCTGTACAATAAGAAAAAAAATTACCTTTATAATAACAGTTATACTGAAAATAGTAAACATCAGAAACTTGAAAGGTTTTAAATAAACAATAAATTATCATTTTACGATATTCTTCAACATCCCTTGAATCTTAAATGTTCAGCAAGAACTAAATATCTGCCTTTGAATATTCTATGTGGCTGTAATGCAGTTTTGTGACTTATTGATAGGAAACCAGTTTTAATCATTCATTCTGTTTTCTTTTGAAAAAAATAGAATAAAGAAAATATAAATAACAATCCTTTTGGTTATACATTTTAACTTTACGCTATTATTTAATGGTACTTTTTTACTTTGACAGAATAGGTTAATTCTTCAAAGACAACTTATTAGACTTAGGCAACTTCTCATACATTTTCTCGTAAATACTGTTGCCTGTCTATGTTTTATTATTGATTACTATTGATTATACTTACTTTTAGTTTAAGCGATAAAAAATATACAATAATAAATTAATGTTTTGACTTGTTTTACAAATCCATATACCTTTATTAGAACTAACATATATACTTTTTAATTACGAATTCTATTAAGAATTCTATTGTCAGTATAAGCAAAAATTTCCCATTAGTACATACATTAATTAGCGTGTCACGTGTCACGCACGAAGCGAATAGCTGTATGCGATAAGTCAAACTGGTTATACTATTGGTTTGTACATAATAATTTATTTTCTATTTATAGTTTTGATTTTGTATTCATTAGCCAGTACAGTATTCTATAAATTATGCCATTTTAAAAACTCACTAACATTGTTACAACAAAATTTATTGCTTTTATTCATTCAGCAGAAAGAAATTATA